AAGGCTTACTTCAAGTGGAATTTCTTAAGAAGTAGAGACTTTATGCTTGCTCATGTCAACAATCTTTAGAAAGTGCTGTTAACTTTTAATACAGTTCATGAAATAGCATTATCCTCTAAAAAACCTGCATTATCTTTAGTAGGAAGAATAGTCATCTCTTTTCAATATTTAATCTAATGGTGATTATTATTATTTCTGGCAACAACTGCAAAATTTGTAATCCCAGTTAGTAACAATCCATGTTTAAAAAGTTGCTTTCTTTTATTCTAGAAAAGGATACTAGACAATAATGTCCAGGCAATGTTAATGTATTTTATAATTTGTTCTGTTTTATAATTTGTTTTCACTCACGGTAACTGCGTGTATACCAATTCACTGTATCACTATGTGAGTTAAAATTCTTTTCATAGATTTCCTTTATGGCATTCAGCTTTCTCTCTAAAAACTCCCAATTGTATTTTTCCTTGCTAGAAGATAAGTAGGCAGAAGTGTCAGCTGTTGAAGTGGATGGGTTTTGTTGCATCAGAATTTTCCTCAATTCCTAGTCTAACAGCTATAATTTGAGAATGTACCATACTACATAAAATTCATATTTAATGAAATTTATATGTAAGTAATTCTATATTTCAGATGTTTAAACTAACAATTCAGTAAAAAATAAACTTAGTTTGTATAAATACAGGCCTATATTTCATGATGAATGATCATTAAGGGAAATACTATTCTAAATGATTTATACATATTTCCTTGTCATTTCCATGTTTGTATAAAAAAAGGAGAGATGTGGAGTAAACTGAAGCACTTTTACAAGGTTCTGTAGCTATTAATCTATACAAATTAAGATTTGAAACCAAGCATTTTGAATCTTAACATCCAACCTTTTAAACATCCTTCCAAACTTCTAATACAATCTGAAGTGGCACATCTGTATTTTGGCAGGTGGTAAAAAATTTTGGCTAATCATTCAACTACTGCTTGTTGAATGAAAATATAAAGAAATAAATATAAAACTGAATGACTTCACTGACCAATTTTTAGTGGCGTATCACCCGAGTAACATTTTCTCAGGTAAAAAACATGATATTTTTGAAGAAGTTATCCATGGTAATATAACATAATGCTTTGGAGTATATTGAAAAAAGGCTAATTAATATGTTTAATTTTTTTAATACATTTAATTTTATCATTCACTTGTGACAAAATATAATTGAGTTGCATGAAACTAGGCTTTCTTTCTGGTATTGGCAGTAGCTTTATTTTGAATAATAATAACAAACACAAGTTAATTATGATTTTTGGTATGATGTATTTTTAAGGTAAAATTAATAAGTGGAATGCTGTTTAATACATGGCATAAATTTAAAATGTATAGAAAAATTCTGTCAATTTATAGGTAGAAATTATTTCTTTACTGAAAACTCTACATATGAGTCTTCAAAATTCAATATACCTTTGCATACGTTTGATTGTATGTGTGCAATTTGGTTAATTTTCCTCAAAATAACCATTACTTGTACATGCCAACGTATGTACATTGCTAACAGGTATGATGTCTATTCTGTTTGCTAAAATAATTTTATAGTAGATATACAAATTTTCTCTCCTGTTCATTATTAGGCAATCAATAATGATATCCAAGACAGCTGAAATATCCAAATTTTCCATTTACCTTATCATTAGAGATGTCTTACAGTGTCTTACTCGACACTCTTTCAAAAGCTTACATATAATAAAAATATAATCTGACATTTTCTGTGTGCAGGTAGAAGTATGTGTATGTGCACATGCTTGCACATGTGTGTGCATGATTTTAGATTTACAGTCATTAAGGGGTGTAACTATCTGCTTGAAAACCTTAAAATACAGATAAAATGCATAAAATAATGATTTTAAAATATTGGGCATCAGATATTAAAGAAAGACAATCTGTGGCAGATTAAAGGCAAATGAGGTTAGCCCTACAACTTCCTGAGTTTCTTATCCAGAGAAATGTTCAGAATATGATGAAGATAGAACATTCACAAAGCTTGTAGCCTCCTTGAGCCAAGAAAGAGGTGAGTCCATAGATGCCAAAGTGGCCAGAGTTAACAGAGGAAAACATTACAAAAGATACGGACACACTAAGGGAACTCTTTGGAGACCTGCAAAGGGCTATTTTCAGTTTCTATCTGAGTCTAAACAGCTGGTATGTATGAAAAAATCAGGTAAGGTTAGGGAAAGAACTGTGCAAAATGCCTAAACGAAACACTTAGTAGAGTTCACGATTTGTTGGGAATATAGCCTGTTCCTATCAATCACAGAAAAGGCACAGAGTGCCTCATCACTCATGGGGCATCCAATTATTCAGAAAGACTTCACCTCAGTAAAAGAACAAAATTAGCCCTAGTTAGTTACAACTAACAAAGTATAAAAGAAACACTTGGAAAATATCAAGTTATTTCTAAATAGATGATCTCTATTCTAAAACAAAAGTTAAGATAATTTATCTGAATGCCAAAATATCAAGAACTCAAATTAAAATTCTTAAAGTGTCGCATAAATAAAAAAAAAATTACAAGTCTGGGATTATAGCTCAGTGGCAGAGCTCTTGTGTCACATGCAAAAGGTTCTGAATTCAGGGCCAAGGATTTAGCTCAGTGGCAAATTGCCTGCCTGGCAAGTTCAAGGTCCTGAGTTTTATCATCAGTCCAAAAAAAAAGTACTGAGTTCAATGCCAAATAAAACAAAAATGAAACAATTAAAATATTACCAATAAGCCAACCAAGCATTGAAACTATAGAGAAAAATACATTAAATTTGGCTTAAAATAGACATGGATGCTACATTAAGTAGACAAAGACATTTTAACAGTTATTATATCTATATTCTACATCTTCAAGAAGGTAGAGGAAAGAGTCAGCACTCCAAACAGAGACATGGAAGATGTATTGAAAAGCAAATCACTGTTATGAGAGATGAAAACAATATTTGATGATAAAAATATACCTAAAATGGAATTAGCAGAAAATTAAATATTTCACATATTAGGTTAGTTAATTCAATAATAGAAATTATATAGAATGAATTGTGTGAAAAAAGACAGAAAAGAAAATGAATAAAGCATTCATGAGTAGGGTGCCAGGTTTAAACATTCATATATGTATATTTGGAGCTCACTTACTTTTTAAATTAATGGCAAAAAAATTCAAAATCTCATCAAATTCACAGATTGCAAAAGAATAACACAACTAAAAAAAAAAAAGAACAACACCAAGGTTCATCATATATCAATTGATTGGTCTCTAAAATGTTGCCTAATAAAACTTTTACGATTTCAGAGTGGGCATCACAAGAAACTTGAAATATGTACCAAAATCCATACCAAGGCCTATGGATATAGCTCAGCAACAGAATGTGTACTTACTATTTGCAAGGCCCTAGGGTTCATCCTCATTATACAAAGATGAAAATAAAAACCACTATTATCTATAAAGTACACATCTATCATCTATGTAGTATCATCTATGAAGTATATCCTCCAAACTATATATTTTCACTATATATATAAATTTTATAATGAAAATAACCATTGTGTATGTTATGCCAGACATAAGACATATTTGGTCATGTAAGTGTGTAATAACTTTGTGTCTCTTCTCAAGAATACCTTATATGACTAATACATACATTTATGCTTTTGGTAGAGACTTTGTTATGTTGTATTAGATCAAAATTAACTTCAGTGCTACTACAAATATATCATCTGTATAATAACAAATTAGAAATCAATGATTGGCTCTTTATGAAAATTGATGTGTATACAAATTTGATCTATAGAATTATACACAATTTTAAAAATATTCATTTCTCATGTTTATAGAATTTGTCATATATATATATATATATATATACATACATATTTGTGTGTGTGTGCACCTGAATTCTTCAGTCCTTAGTATCAAAATGCATGCTTGCTATGCTAAAATATTTGATAATGAAGAATTATAACATCTAATATCACATTGATTTATAATGTTTAATATATTGTTATCAATCTAGATCTTTAAAAGTCTGTTTTTTTAAATAAACTATCATCTTCTTAGCCTTTATCTGTCTTAATCAGTATTTTGTGCATTAAAAATTGGGTACAATTCAAATCTACATGATTGAACATTGTAACATGAATAAGTCAAGCTAAAAAATGTACAAAAATACATAAGCACAATAATCATATTTCTCACAACCAAACTATATACTTTATCCACTAAATGATATCCTCTACAATCCAACTTATATTAATTTGCATATTCAATAAACATAACAAGTTGAAATTGAACTATACACTAGTTATAATCCATGTGTTACTTCTCCATTAACATAAATCATATAAAAGTCAATAAGTATGGGGCTGGGGATTTAGCTCAGCAGCATAAGTGCCTGCATTGCAAGCAGGCAGTTGTGAGTTCGATCCCTGGTACCGACAGAAAAATAAAGTCAATAAGTACCACCAATTAACTTTGTTTTGTTTTGGCCTCTGGACCATCTTAGAAGGCTTTTTGTCTACAAAATATATAGAAATACTGCTGCATCACCACAAATGTCCAGGGAAAGAGAAATGTAATTCTTTTGTGATGGATATGTTAGCAACTACATTTTTCCTAAGTATACCTGAAATTCTCACTTTGGACAGGTCCCAACGTAAGGCAAAAACGCACATTTACCCAAAGCCACACTACATTCTGCTATAAAAATATTCCTTGTGTTACAGATGCATGTATACTTTATAGTTCATTGGTTAAACCAGTTCTGTCTAAGCTTACTCTGTCCATCTTTCACCAAAAGTTCATATTAAGACTCCCAACATGATCATTATGGTGAATTTATAGTATGCATAATGATAACAAAAGGTCAGGAATCAGGAATTTCAGTCATTCTTGAAAACTTGAATTTAAAGAAGCTAAGCAGTTATGATACTGCAGTGAAGACAGCAATGATTTGGGAAAAAAATCTCAAAATCATACCTTAAGATACCATTTGTACTTAGCATGCTCCCAATTTTCAGGAATCTGTGTCTTTTTGAAAAATTGTTCAGCTTCTGTTAGCCATTGATTAAATATCTTCATGTCATAATGAAAACGCCGCCATTTCTCAACAGATCTGTCAAATCGTCTAGAGGTAAAGAAGTATATCAAGGAAAATAAGTGAATTGGACAAAACACATTATATCAACACAATAGTTTTTATATTGACATTGATATTATTTTGATATTCTTGCATTTTTAGATTTATTTTTCAAATAATAAAAATAGTAATTAATATTGAAGAGGAAGGATGACTTAAAATTAAAAGTGATCATTTTTCCTTTGTAATTAAATACATTTCTTGATTGAAACATAAATAAAGATAACTATTTTGGAATATTAACATTTTTCCCTATGATTGTATTTAAATTTAAAAATTTCAAGTATTATAAAATATGTCAGGACTGCAATAAATTATTTGGAAAGTATGTGTTAAATTTCAAAATTTTGGATCAACTCCAAAATATCTTATTCCATTTATTAGTTTTAATACTACTCCTGATTCAAAATGATCTGTTAAGATAATCAAGCATCCAGAATGACACATATACTTTGTTTTTGCCCTCAGATGTAAACAATTAACCAACTAACAGATATATGTTCTAAATCAAATGATGAGTGTTATCTTCCTATTACCTTTCTTGTTTTATCATATCTACTAATTTGTTAAATTGGAATGACAAGCTTATTACAAGACAAAAATTAACACCTAATATGAATAGAATATTAAGAAACAGACCCTTACTCATTTTCTGATCATAGAAAAGATGGCAGCAAAAATTCCATAAACCAGGCGTTTGTGTTTACAATAAGACAGTTCTTAAGAATCACCCAGGCTGTTGAAGACAAGCAACAACAATATTGAAATACTGATAGTGGAACTCCATTCCAGGCCAATTAAATAAGCATCTTTAGAGGAGGGAACCTGACATTGCTTACCTTAAAAGACTCCAGATAATTCTAATGTGCACTTAAGGTACAACCAGAGTTACAAAGTAAGATTAGCTATTATGAGTTACACTGCTATCAACATAGGCATGCATGTATCACCATAATAAAATGTCTTTAATTATTTTGGGAACATGCCTAGAAGATGAATATCTGGGTAAAAATGCAGCCTATATATCCATCAACAGATAAATGTATAATAATGGTGCTGTTTTTACACAATGGAGCACTACTCTGCCCTAAAGTAAGATAAAACGGAGTCATTTGAAGGAAAATGGATGCATCTTGAGAACATACAGCTAAATGAAATAAAGCAGACGTGGGAGCTGAAGCATCATGTTTTCTCTTGCTTGAGAAACACCAAGAAAAAGTAGAGAGCAAAGTAAAAGACAGCTAACAGTAAGTATAGAGATACATCTTTCTCAAAAGGGAAGAGAATCAAGAGATGGAGGGAGGGGATGAAAAAAGGAATTTGAGTGTGCTACGTGCATGTGCCAACTTAAGGAACATAAACATTATGTACTTCAAACATGTACAACGAAGGAAAGTATATGAAGAGATGTGGAGGAATGTGGGAAAAATTAAGATGTACTATATACAGGTTTTCTACAAAATGTGAACATTATGTAAAATACACATGAACTAATAAAATAAAAAGTAAAAACATAAAGCAATATTTGAAGTCTCATAGGAGATATGATCTACCTGGTTTCCTGGAGACTTTCCTATGAAGAATATCCTAACACTAAACCAAAAGTCATCCTTAAAATTCCTGGCAGTGTGTGCTGGGTGTGGTGGTGCACCGGTGTTTCCAGCACTTGGGAGGTTGAGGCAAGTGGATCACTGTGAGTTCGAGGCCAGCCTATGCTATAAAGTGAGTTCAAGGCCAGCTTCAACTATATAGCAAGATACTGTCTCAAATAAAAAAAATCCTGGCTGTGGGCCTCTCTTACAATAAAGGGAGTATGTCAAGTTTGTTTGAGTTCCAGTCTCAAGACGCAATGGATTACACTTTTAAGTACCAAGACATCTTCTCAGAACCTTGCCTTTATTTACGAATCTAACCTGCTGCCATCCTTGTTAAACAGTTGTGGCTCAAGCAAGCAGTGGGTGACCCAAAGAGCCAGCCAGCCAGCCAGTGTCTTCCAAGATCCGTACCATGTTGGAACGTACGGCACTGGGTAACAAAGCAACCCGCTCATCTCCCTGGTAGGCAGCCATGAGCTGAAAAATCAAATATCCTCCCCCCACCCCATTAGCAAATGGGAGCCAGAGGTCTGAGCATCTCTTGGGAGGATGACCATATGCAATACAGTCAATATGGGGGATTTCCTCCTACCATCTCTTTGAAGGCAAATGTTGTTATCACTGTTTTGCTTTGTTTTGATTAATTGTATCACTCTATGCAATATTCTGTTTTGATAGGTTTTATGATATCTTGCATTTGGCTTGAATTTGCTATATTTGATTGATAGGACAACTATTGTGAAGATAAGGAGATTATACTATGGCACCTATTACTGTTATCCCAGTATCCTGCTTGTAGTTCTGTACCAATTTCACTGCGTTGTCTCAATTGGCTTTATTCTGTCTTGTTCTGTTGTATTTTCTACCCTCAAAAAATAAAAAAATAAAAATCTGAAAAATACTTTTTAAAAATCTGAAGTACAAACACATCAACCTATTGGATTACTAGGGGGAGAAAGTTCACATTTCCTGAATAGTTATAGTGAGCCAGTCATTGGACGCTGTTTTCATTGTACTGCACATAGAGCATTTCATCACACTTACAATATCCTTGCAGCATAAAAAATTATTATTCCCATATCCAACCAGAAAAAAAAAGACAACAAGAAACTAAGAACCTGAGTAACTTGCCCACAGATTTTTAAAAGGTTTTAAATAGCACCAAGGAGGTTCTAAGGTGAATATCTCTGGCTTCAGTGATACCTTTCCACCTCCCTACAAAAACCACTAATCTGTTCCCTTGATCATGGGACCCTTAGCTCTTCAATGCAGAGCTTGAAGGAAGCGGAAAAGGAAGAACAGGCTTAGCGAATATGTGCTCTATTTCCACCCTTGTCCCAGGGCCCCAAATGAGAGGTAAGGATGGGTTTTCCAGCCACATAAGACTGTGCACATTTCCCCTAACCCTGCTATTGCAACAAGACTTGTGGATTCGCACATGTGTCACATATTCTTTTAGTGTCCTCCTTTCCATTTGAAATCTTCTCCTTGACTTCTGCAATCCAAAATTTTCTATCCTTAAATTCATATAAACAGTATGGATTGTCACTAGATAAACACATAAAGAATTTAACATAGCAAAAAGCTGATGAAACTGTAAAAACTGTGAAGTTGACTTAATATTATTACTAAAATTACTATTAAAATGAGTAATTCTATTCAAACAAAGTATAAAGAATGAAAGCATATGTTTTACACGTGATGACATTTAATGTGAGTAACACCACTTTAAACTCCATTTCAACTATAACATAAAATTTTAAAATATACTCTTCAACATTTAATATGCCTTGTTAATAGTGAAGTCTAAATCTATGTTTGAATTTACTATGTAAAATTACATTTTTATCATGACTATTTATAAACTTAAAACTATTTCCTACCAAGGAAGCTTCTGAATGTATGTAAATGGTGTATGGTTTCACAATATTAGATTTATAAATTTAATTTCCCATCTATCATTGTGTTCCCTAAATTATTCTCTTTATTTACTGAACTATCTATAAGTGAGGAAAAGTTTACCCACTATCAGAAGCACAAAGAGACATTAAAATAGGATTTAAGGATATATATGTTTTACCTAATTTATTAATTTGAGGGGGAAAAAGTTACATTTTTTCCTGCAGTAAGGCAAAATGTAGACCAAACTAAGTAAAGGACAAAATATGTCAGTATAAACATATGGGTAGTAAATCAAGTGATTTTAAAATTTCTCAAATATTAAAAGTCTCATTCACCATGCCAGCATTATTTAAAATTACACTGCTGCTTCATTTATGTGCAGCATAACTTATTTCCTGCTGTTCTAAATCAAGTTAGTCAGATTATCCTCAAGCATAAATTACATTTAGGGAGTAATTTAGGTACTTTGAGACACACTTTAACACTTTCAGGCCATTAAGGTGATGCTCAATTCCAAGAAATAAATTTAAATAAATAACACTCTAGTAGCCTTCTGACATATCCATTGTGGCTTTTGAGTTAGATCTGCAAATTCAGCATTGGGCTGCTGACTATTTTCTCCAACATATTTTATCTTTGATTAGATGAGTGGGAAGGTCCTTGGTTAATGTCTCATGGTTCAAAGTGTGGGTGCTGATAAATAAAAGCGAAACTGGCTATCTGCCTGAAATCATACTATCTAGCTATTTCTTCATTGCTATGGTTTGTATGTAGTTTATCCCTCAATAGTCCGTGTGTTGGAAACTGGGTCCTCACTGTGGATGTTAAAGGTGTGAGGCACCCTTTAAAGATGGGGTTATTGGGAGATAACTGAGGACTGTACACTCAGCAGGGATTAAGGTAGGTCTCACAAGAAGCTTAAGTCTGCCTCTGCCCAGCTAGCTCTCCCTGATTTCCCATCTGGTGAAATGACTTTTGTGGCACATGATACCACACAACTACGAGGTCCTTTCCAGAGCTGAAATAGTGTGGGTAGGGACAGAGAAGATAATTATGCAAAAAATGAACTAGATGTGGGAAAAACTGACAGCAACCCCCCCCCCCCAAATTCTAAGAAAAGCTACAGTCTAGATTTCCTGACTTGGCACTTTCTAGTCTTCCTGAGAACACATCAACCCTAACACTTGCAAATCCACTAGCCACATTCTGATTTACAAGCCCAAGTGAAATTGTGGTGACTCTGTCTACCCAAATGGGCCTCATTTACATGAACCTGAAATGCAGTTCTGATCACTCCCCATGGGCATTAGCTTCCATGATGGTTCCAACCAGGTGCAAAAAGTTTAAAGACTTCCTCTTCTGAGTTGAGGTTGAGGACCCAGTGAATTGGAAGAAACTGTGTTAGTTACCACCTCCAACCACTCCCATTCTAGGAAAACAAAAGGAAAAAAAAAAAAAAAACAATCTTGGACTTGATTGAAGGTACTGTCC